GCCTCACAAAGACACCCATGCCTGCATCAGCTGTGACCAGCATGAGGAAAAGAATCTCATTAATATGGCATAGATTTGTCTCAGGCCATCGCCTCGAGGCCCCCTGCTGTTGGTATTAGGGTAGTGTGTCTGTGCAGCAGTGCAGTGTTTTTGGCCAAAGTGATACATTGATGATATTATACTTTTTTTTCTTCACTATATTAAAGTATTTTAAAACCATAAAGATATTATTTCTTTAACACACAGCATAGCCTGTCACACTTTTTGGTTTTATTTTTATTCTTGATGTTTATCTTTGTTTATCATTCCTCTTTTTCTCTCAGTCTCACACAAAATACACTATCCCATGACCCTAATATTTGTACACAACTGTTTTGATGGTATTAAGAAGTATTATTTTTATCTAAGCTAAAAGCTTGATCCATTTTTTTTTGTATAATGAACTTTTAGTAATCCTCTGAAAAAAATTTCCCATACCTGTATCATTTGTTGTTTATATGCTTTTCATGTTCCCTTTCTTGTAACCCAAAGGCCTAAAGAGTAATTCAAAAGAAATCACTGTTTCTTTGCAGTTTGAAAACAAAACTGCAAAACATTTTTCTGTTTAAATTCAAACAACTTGTATTTTTGTGCTCTTCTTGGTAAGTATGAAGGGTTCCCCATAGCCTTTGTATTTTTATACAAGTCTAACTGATTATATTTCTCTTGTGTTCTCTTTCATATCTCCTTCCTTCATGGTGGTGATCCTGATTTCCTTTTGTTTTGTGTGACTTCCTGACTCGCCTAATAAGGTAAGAAATAGTTTTTATTATTATTGATCACACTATACACTACAAAACTACACTTACTCATGAACATCACTGACAACTTGACCGTCACTCATGGTGGTTTCATTATACATTAACATTTTTAAACACAAGCTGGGTTAAAGTTGCGTTCAAACAGCCAATGTTGCATGGAAGCAGGTGTGATTTTTCAACTGGTGACATCCAGTTGTATAAAGTACTCTGCAAAAGTTTAATTTCACTCCTACCATATTTGAGATTTCCCTCCATGGACCCACACTTTCTACAGTTCTTCAGGTTTTAAGTTTATCTCAGTAATATGCCTTACATGTCACAACATGTTGTGATCTTATCTATGTGTTAGAAAATTGCATATTTTTAACTGTGTTTTGATTATATTTGATAAGTAAAGTGAGAAGATACAACATATTTATGAAACAATGAAAATATTCAAGCAAGCAGAGCTGGAAGGATGCATTCTTTTAGTGGAACATCCTCTCTTTAAAAGCTATTAAGCTTTCAGGAAAATCTATTTGCTGCTGCTAGAATAGTATGTTTTGTCGTGTTTTATTAAACTTAGCCATAAAACAAACGCATGAATCGTTCTAATAGACTGCTAATGAAATGCTGAGCATAAACCCTTAACTTTTCTATGATACGTAGGGTCTACAGAATCATTTCACTTAAGAAAACATGTTGCCCTTTATTCATAGGTTGGAGTTTAGTGGGATAGATACAGTCTGGTTCGAAGTTGATCAAGTACTGGACTGACTAAAGGCTAAAAACCTTTTCTAGTACAAAAAGTAAAAGCAATAAAACAGAATATCCATGTAGCTATTGAATAATGTTATTGAAGATCACAAGAAAGTCAAATATTGTGCAAAGAATAATAGTAAGGAATGGGAGATGATTGAAGACTTTTGCAAAGTACTGAGCCTTAAAAAGACAAAGCTGATGCCCTGAAACATTTGTATCTCACTAATTTAATCACCATCTTTCTGTGAACAATGCTAATGTCGGTGACATGATCCTCAATGCACAGTGTAGTTGTTAGAGAATTTTTTAAAACTTTAATGAATACCATTGATCTTGAATTGAGGAAAATTTGGAATTTATTGTGCAATTATGAAACAGTAGCAGGTATGATTTCAGGACAAAAAGTTGTTTCATTCTGAAGTGAGTGTTGTCATGGAGCTTTACTTACTAATAGGCTTAGAAGTGTTAGCAGGAAAGAGCAGCTGGTTAAGAGACTCCTGTTCAAATAAGGTGCCAGAGATTATGATCCCTGTGAAGTATCTGGGTTAGGTAAAAAGAAAAATAGAACAATACTCATTTTTCTTTTTATTGTAGATATGTGAAATACATAAAAGGATCCACCCTTTTATTAGTTTGTTTTTTAAATGCTGTAACATAACACAGAAATGCTGATTTAAAAACAATCATAAACAGGGGCAATGACTTAGTTTTTCCCTCTTTGAACCAAGGTAAGTGAACAAGAAGGAGTATTGTTACCCTATTATGTTGTGAAGCTTCAATTGTATATTTGTTATTTATTTGTTAAACTAGCTTCAAACACATTATTTATATTTAAATGCACCTCAAAACACAAACAGCATTCAACAATTACCATTGCAGAGATTCTAGATGACATCATTTTGATATCGGTCACTTGAAAAAAACATAATTTCAGGGAATGCTTTAATATTAATTTCATATTACATTGTGTACCTTAAGATAAGGTCCAATGCTGCATTCTAAAAAGGACGTTCTCTTTTTGTAAGGCTGTCCTTGTTAACATCACGGATAAAATAACTGAGGGAAAGAAAGTGAGAAAATGGTTTTGTAAATTAAAAAATTGTATTAAAAATTGTTGCTTTTTGTAAAACTATAATATCAAATCAATATATATCCAACACAAAAACTAATTTCAAGTGAATTATGTATTACAATCGGAATTGAGTTTAAAAAAAAAGTAGGAAAATAAAGAAATAAACTGTCTTTAAAAGAGACCCATAAAATGTTAAAAAGGATAGTTTCAGAGCTGTAATAAATAAATGCCCTGTACCTTTTCCGTCCATTTTACGTTTTACTTGCTCAACCCATCCCGAAAGTTACATACACTTTGTTGGCATGTTCCAATACAGAGCAGCTGGCTTTTATAAGGAATTTACACACTAAATGCCAATTATAATTGCCAAATGCTCAGACATGCTAATGCATGTCAGCCAACAAAAACCTAAATATAATAGAGTTGTACAAAGTAAGGCTGCTTAATTATTATTTGTACTGTCTGTGTTTAAGAACTAAACAAACCTTTCTCTTTTTTTCACTTATTAGAATTACACCCTTTCACTGTCTGTTTTGTGAGGGTTTAGTTCTCTATACACAAATCCCAAAATAAATAAAAGCAGGGGCTGATCTTTAAAAGCTGCCTTTAGAGTAAACTCTTAAAACAAATTACCTGCATATATGGATGTTAATATCAAAATCCTGCTTTTTTTAAAGCTAAGTAAAACAAAGAATAGTCTAATTGCCTCTTAACCCTTAAAATAAAAATAATTTTGAAAATATCTAGAATTGTTTTTCAAAATCACCATACACTGTAAGTAAATACTGAGTTTATCATATAGGCCACATCAATAATCAAAAACAACAACATTGTTTGCATATAATTGTAAATGCAGCACACACTACATTGTTATTCCACTTTTTTCGTGCAGTATTCTTAACATTTGTAAGTGTTTGTCATCTAGTATTTTACCTTGTTGTAATAGAAAATGTATCCAACATTAATGGATAACAGAATCCATTAATAATCAAACCACTGGGCTTACTTTTCTATGCTGCAGAGAAAAGGAAAATGAATTGAGTGGTGTTTCATTCCTCCCCTCAGAGTATCACACTGCCTCTGCACCAGCATCACTTCACCGTCTGTGTGGCGCTGTCCACACAGCTGGTGGTGCTGAAATCCTCCCAGGCGCTCCCCTCCCTTCCTCTTATAAGCTTTCACACACGATTCTCTACATCTCCCTCTGCCGCTCACTCTTCTTTACAGAATCAAACCAGAAAATGTATTATGGCATTGTTCCTATCATTTCCTTAAGCTTTTAGAAATAGAACAATATGTTGTTTCCTGTCCGTTTGATTATTTTACAGGTTATGAACAATGTTAATTGGAGGCAGAACCATTGATGTCCCACATGATGCAGTGTATTTATGTGGAATGCATTGTAGAGTGGGAGTATATGCAATTAAGGATCATTTTTTTGAAAAATAAATTGATCCACAAGTGTCTCTGGATTTGTTTTTTACAGAACAGATAAAGTGAGTTCTATGTGTGTGGTCTTGTTTTACCTACAATGTCAGGGAGGCATTTTGTAAACTATATATTATGCAGGGACTTAAAGGTACATATGAGGATATTCAACTGGTCCCCATATAGTAAAGTTCTGTTCTTTGAGTTATGGTAATAATAATAGGTGTTGGTAATAGTTAAGACTAGGCTATATAAAGTGAATGCAAGTCAATGAAATGTCCCCATTTGTTATGAAAACAAAGCTGTGTGTGGGTGTGTGTGTGTGTGCACCAGAGGGATAGAGAGAAACAGAGAGAAAAAACGGAGCACAGCAGCAGCAGCAAAAGCCTTTCTGCTTCATGTGCGCTCCCCCTCCCTTTCTACTTGCCCTACAGACCTCCATACGGGTATTTTACGTCAGCCGCTGTCACAGTTTTTATTTAAGCTCTGCGGTGAGCTGCGACAACGTCATGACGTACTGTATGTAGGCTGCACTGGCCTTATGTAACCACAGGAAGGCAATAAAGAGCCTCATATTCCATGAAGACATGTGGGAACATGCAGGCGCATACAACAAAGGGCAGATTGATCAGCTAAAATGATTTTAGATTAATAATGCACTGAGTATTTATCAGCATTAAAGCTGGAAATTGAATATTCAGTTATATAAATGGCATATTTGAGTCTAAAAATGTGTGCTCATTAATAAATAGAGTAAAACAATGCATGAATGTTTAAATAAATATTATTTAATCTGATTAATCAATTAAATATAGCGTTGTCTACTTGTGATCACTCGACTTTTCTATGTGCAACCTGATTGCTGGAAATGCGTCTGATCTCTGCACCAATGATATGAAGAGCTGTACAAAGAGATCTACTCTGTCTCAGCGAGTAGCGTCAGCTCTGAAACGCTGCAATGTCCTGCACAGGAGGAAACGGATGGAGACACGAAGCATGAATTTTGCTATTAAATTGCAAGCCTCATTTACTTCGGATTACAAAGAATATTTTCATTTAAGAGGTCGGGACAGGGGTGAAACGATATGGAGTATTCGGGACGTGGAATAATGTGGAGCAAATTGCCGACATGGCAGGCGCTTTTGTGGTGGAATTATTTCTATCTTATGTGGAGTACAATAGACGCACAGACTCATTACAGCATCCCGGAGGAGCTCAAACAGGGATCCGTTGTAGGAAATATAGCAAAAGATTTGGGTTTGCATGCGCCTGAGATGTATCGCCGAAAATTACGGATTACCTCCGAGGCTGGTAAGCAGTATTTTGATGTAGATTTGGGGAAAGGAGAGCTGCTTGTGACAGACAGAATAGATAGAGAGGAACTCTGTGGACAAAGACCATCCTGTGTGTTGCCTTTAGAGCTAGTAATAGATAACCCGTTACAGGTGCACAGGGTTGAAATTGAAATACGGGATACAAATGATAATACTCCTAGCTTTCTTACTAAAGAGAAAGTAGTTAAAATAGCGGAGTTGGTAAATCCAGGCGCGCGATTTCCTTTAGAGAGTGCAAACGATCCGGATGTTGGCACTAATTCTGTACGCACATATCTCATAAGCAAAAATGAGCATTTCAAATTAACAGTTAAAAATCTTAAAGATGGTAGAAAAATTCCTGAATTGGTGCTTGACAAACCTCTTGATCGAGAGATGCAGACTGTACACAACCTCATCCTCACAGCTGTGGATGGAGGAGATCCGGTGCGTTCAGGGACATCAGAAATCACTGTTATAGTGCTTGACATTAATGATAATGCGCCACAATTTGAAAGGCAAGTATATGAAGTTAATGTCACTGAAGGTGCTACATTCGGAACCGAGATTTTAAAGGTAAAAGCTGTAGATGCAGATGAGGGATTAAATGGGGAAATTGAATATGTATTTGCAGAGCAAACTTCAGATCTCATTGTATCATTATTTGACATTAACCCATCTACTGGAGCTATTACTGTAAAAGGGGTTTTAGACTATGAGTCAAACTCTTTACATAGATTCGATATTACAGCAAAAGACAAAGGGAATCCTGAGATGGACGGGCATTGTGGTGTGGAAGTCAAAATAATTGACATTAATGATAATAATCCAGAAATAGTTGTGACTTCTTTAACAACACCCGTTCCTGAAGATTCTGCAGCTGGAACAGTTATTGCAATAATAAGTACAAGAGATCCTGATTCAGGCGTTAATGGCAAGGTTACATTAACAGTGTCAGCAAAGTCTCCGTTTAAGTTAAATCCGTCGATCTCTAAACATTATTCTTTGGTAACAAATGGTCCGCTCGATCGTGAAAAAAACAGCATGTACAGCGTTAAGATAACCGCAACTGATGGCGGTAAACCGCCTTTAACGAGTGAAAAAACAATAGCTTTTGAACTTTCAGATGTAAATGACAACCCACCTCGTTTCTCCCATGTTTCATATGCAGTTTACATAAAAGAAAATAATACCCCAGGTCTTATTTTGAGTTCAGTATCAGCTTCTGATCTAGATTCTGGTGAAAACGCAAAAATCTCTTATTCTATTCTAGACTCTAAAGCACAGGATGTGTCTGTCTCATCTTACGTTTACATTAATTCAGAAAACGGGAGCATCTACAGCATGCAATCCTTTGACTATGAGAAGCTGAAGGTGTTTCAGATTCTGGTTCAGGCAAAGGACCATGGTTCCCCTCCTCTGAGCAGCAACACCACTGTCCATGTTTTTATCCTGGACCAGAACGATAATGCTCCCGCTGTTATTTACCCCTCCTCTGCTGCCCTGGGTTCTCTCTCTCATCAAAGGATGCCCCGCTCTGCTAAAGCTGGTCACCTGGTTACTAAGGTGACGGCCGTGGACGCTGACTCCGGCCATAATGCCTGGATCTCCTACAGACTGGCGGAGGCCACAGACGCCTCTCTGTTCACCGTCAATCAGTACACAGGGGAGGTGAGGACTAAACGCGCTGTAACCGAGCAGGATGACTCCTCTCAGAGGCTGCTGATAGAGATCAAGGATGATGGGGAACCGGTTCAGTCCGCCACCGCTACGGTGTCCATCCTGCTGGAGGACGGTCTCCATGAGCCCATCTTAGACCTCAGACATAAAGTTTCTGAGCCCAGCAAGAAAACTGGCAGAATTACCCTTTATTTGATTCTTTCTCTGGCCTCAGTGTCCGTGCTGTCTCTGGTGACGTTTCTTATCTTAGCGGTGAAATGCATCAGGAGCAGCAGTAGCAGCGGGAGCTGCTGCATGAGACGAAGCGACTGTGATGATTACAAGAACCCCAACAGAAACCTGCAGATTCAGCTCAATACTGATGGACCCATAAAGTACGTGGAGGTCCTGGGAGGAGACATGATGTCTCAGAGTCAGTCCTTCAGGTCCTGCATGTCTCCAATGTCAGAGTACAGTGATTTTACTTTGATCAAACCCAGCAGCACCACAGACTTTAAAGAAACCCTCAGTGTTCTGGATGCGTCTTTACCTGACAGCACCTGGACCTTTGAGAGCCAGCAGGTGAGCTAATCCCAAATTAACCGTGTTTTTAGATTTATCTACCATTAAATAACCCTTTGTCAAACACTTTTGCTTTAATGAGCCTGAAATGTATAGAAGCATCATGTAGCCTGTATATTTCATGGGCTGTTGATTAGAATCTTTGCTGAATTAGAGTATTTACCAAACCTTATACGAGTTTTATCATAATCAGGCTGACCTTTAAAGCATTATCAACAAGTTAATTCTATTAGTCAATTATTAATAAAATATATGTTTTCAAAACGTTATATATTGCGTTATATATAAGCAATATATAACGTTTTGAAAACGTTATATATTGCTATTTGCTTTGGTTTTATGTTGTAATGGGTAAGACACGTTTTTAAGGATTAGATTAAGTAAATTAATTTTTTTTGTACTATGTACAAATTTTGACTATTAATTTATTTATTTATTTATTTATTTAATTTTGCTGTTTCTATTTTTTATTTAATAAGGTTTGGCGGTCATAAATATCTTTTTTTATTCAAATAAACCACATGAACATTATAGGCTCTGCATTGTGGCTTTACAAGTGTAGATCAGCTCCCTTCCTAGTGGATTATAGGTTTTAACGCTCTCGACCAATAGGATTTAACACTGTACAAAGAAATCTAGTCCCTGCCCCCTTTCAGCTTCTGTGCTCCTGTACTCTCATTGCAGCGTGTCAGAGGAGAGAAGGCGATGGGATTCCTTTTGCAATGTGGGAATTTATTATTTGGCCTTACATTCATACATAGTTACTTTTGATCAAACATGTATGGAAAATAATACGTGAGAGGATGGATACATGATTGTTTCCGTACAAACCATCTACTGGAATAAATATGGTATAACGGACCAAGGATGACAAAGAGAAATGCATATCGAGACTGGAGATGGCTGGTGCTTTGGTGGCACCATTTTTTTATCATGTGGAATACAATAGATGGACAGACTCGGTACAGCATCCAAGAGGAGTTAAAAATGGGATCTGTGGTTGGAAATCTTGCTAAAGATTTAGGGCTGTCCTTAACCGAAATTTCTGACCGTAAACTAAGCGTCGCATCTGAGGCTGGTAAGCAGTATTTTACCGTGGATGCGGGGAAAGGAGAGCTGGTTGTGAATGACAGAATAGATAGAGAGGCTCTTTGTGGACAAAGCGCCAGCTGTGTGTTGCCTCTGCAGGTCTTTATCGAAGATCCGTTGCAGCTTTTTCGTGTGGAAGTTGAAATTCAAGATATTAATGATAATTCCCCCAGATTCCCGTCAAAGGATATTACTCTAGATATTGCAGAATCTACTGCGATTGGGGTTCAGTTTCCATTAGAAAGTGCAATAGATCCCGATGTCGGTAGTAATTCTCTGAGGTCATATAAATTGAGTAAACATGAATGTTTCGGTATAAGAGTAAAAGATGTTGCTGGTGGAAGGAAGGTTCCTGAATTATTCCTGACAAAAATGTTAGACAGAGAGAAAAATATTGCACATACGCTTCTGTTAACAGCTCTAGACGGAGGTAACCCAGTGAGATCAGGGACGGCAGAGATAACTATCACAGTTCTAGACAATAATGATAATATCCCAGCGTTCGAGAAATCTTTATATAAAGTATCAATTCCAGAAAATGCTCCCGAGGGTGAATTGATTATACAAACAAAAGCAGCAGATATAGATGAGGGCCAAAACGGAGAGATTGAATATTCATTCGGATCGCACACCCCCGATTCTGTTCTTTCAATTTTTACCATTGATTCTGCTTCAGGAACTATCATTCTGAAGGGAAACTTAGATTATGAAACAACTACAAAATATGAATTGGATGTAACTGCGAAAGATAGGGGCACTCCGAGAATGGAGGGACATTGTATGGTAAATGTTGAAGTTTTAGATGTTAATGACAATGCGCCAGAAATAATTCTCACGTCTCGACCAAAACCTGTGAGTGAAAACTCGCCTAACGGTACCGTTGTTGCTCTGATCAGCGCCAGGGACTTGGATTCCGGTGATAACGGAAAAGTAAAATTACACATTCCAGAGAAAAGTAACTTTGCACTGAGGCCCTCGTTTTCACAAAACTACGCGCTAGTTACAAACAGTGTTTTGGATCGCGAAAAAGTCCCCGAATATAACATTGAAATAGCAGCCATAGATTCTGGCTCCCCTCCGCTGTCAAGTAAGAAAACTATTCATGTTAGCATAACTGATGTAAATGACAACCCTCCTATTTTTACTCAGTCTTCCTATAATGTATATTTAAAAGAGAATAAAATTCCAGGATCTATACTTTACTCGGTATCAGCGTCTGATCGGGATTCTGGGGAAAACGCAAAGATTTCTTACTCTATACTTGACTCCAAAGTGCTGGGTGTTTCTGTCTCATCTTACGTTTACATAAACTCGGATAACGGCAGCATCTACAGCATGCAGTCATTTGATTATGTGAAGCTGAAGGTGTTTCAGATTCAGGTTCAGGCA